ATGGCCTATAATTGGCTAATGATGAGATCATCCCACTGTCCAAATTTGGTGAGAATCGAAAGTAACGCCAATTTTCTGTCACGTTTTCAATCTATGGTCACTGGAGTGACCAAAATCGAGACTAGGGTATGCATTGAGTTTTAAACTCTTTCAACCGAAGGAACAGGACGAACAGGGCCGAAATACTTGGCAAAGGAAACTGAGAAAAACGTGATGACCTTCACCTGCGTGGCATTACACGTGAAATGAGCATATGGTAATTTTTTATTAAAATCTCGACGCGTTTCGTCTCGATAGGTAGTATTATAGATATTATAGATGGTATTGACAGATTTTACATCTTTTAAATTTAACCAAAAGTTCCAACAGCCAAACTGCAATACGTGAAGAAAAACCAAGACATGTTGAGACTTTCAGGATAACATTTCGACAGTTAGTGCATACAGTTGCGATGTAACGTCAGGGAAATGTTATGTAACTCGCTGAATCACTTCGATGTGAAAAAGCTTATCTTACCCCCACTAGTCCAGGTATGTCATCATCATCATCATCATTATTATTATCATCATCATCATCATCATCATCATCATCATTATTATTATTATTATTATTATTGACATATCTATATCTATATCTATACTGAATGTACGAGGCATCTAAATCTGCATCCGTGACAATTTATCTCACAAGAAGGAGAAAACGGATTGACGTGAAATACTTTGATTACATAAATTTGGGTGCATTAAACACAGGGCGGTACCAACACTGAAAGTAAGTCTCAAGAGAGTCTACATTCCCCTGAAATGAATGTACCCATGTTTCGCGGCTCTGTGTTTATCTAAAAACAGTTTTGAGTGCTGCTCCTTAAATCCTGAATCGATGTGAGTAGCCGGCAAATTTTTGCACTCGGGACAAAAGACAATTCGCACGAAATATTACTAGACCTAACCTGCTGAAATAGACGGCAAATTCAATGATAATAATATGCAGGTACCGTATTCACATGTAGCTGTACTTAATTTGCATTTTGTGACTACGTGTTATTGTTACCTCTGTCACGGTACCCGAGAGGACGGCTGTCTTACGAGATTACAAACCAACGAAGGTAGATTTTACTGATTTTCTTTTCATTTTTAATTTTTTTTTTTTGATTTTTTGAGTTACGGAAATGATGCCCGAGCTTGCTGATCACATAAAACCGTTTCTATAGCGAAAATTCGAGCATGGCTGTCTACGAAGACAAGTAGATATAGAGTAGACAATAGGTTTGATCGAACGATAGAAATCGTGTTTCAAGCAACGGACTTGCGGTCAAAAAATTCGAATAATCAAACTAACAATCTGACGGACGATTTAATTTGTGTAATTAAAGGGAACATACCTGGACTAGTGGGAGTAAGATAAGCTTTTTCACATCGAAGTAATTCAACGAGTTACATAACACTTCCCTGACGTTACATCGCAATTGTATGCACTAACTGTCGAAATGTTATCCTGAAAGTCTCAACATGTCTTGGTTTTTCTTCACGTATTGCAGTGTGGCTGTTGGAACTTTTTGGTTGAACTAAAAAGACGTAAAATCTGTGAATACCATCTATAACATCTGTAATCCTACCTATCGAGACGAAACGCGTCGAGATTTTAATAAAAAATTACCATATGTTCATTTCACGTGTAACGCCACGCAGGTGGGGGTCATCACGTTTTTCTCAGTTTCCTTACAAAGTATTTCGGCCCTGTTCGTCCTGTTCCTTCGGTTGAAAGAGTTTAAACAGACAAAATGAAATAAATTTTAAATTTTAAATTTTAATCCGCGAGCCGATTGTTGTGATGATAACTAATTTGGCCTCTCGATGTGGTGTTTTTCTGTGTTGCAAAATTCCATTGGCACATCTGAAAAAGCAAAGCGCTCGGGGAAGTGAAAGGAAGAGGAATATTAGAAACCCATGCCTCAGCAAAGACAGAGAGGATGAATCACAGACTTTGAAAATTACCATATAAACACCAAGACGACTCATGCCGGACATCTTGGTTTGGAAATTACGTTGCATGGAAACGTTACCTTATGGATTTTTAGAGGATAGAAAGTAAAGTTAGGAGCGAATTATTTTACAGGAAGAGCAAAGTCTTGCCCGATTTAGTGGTTGTTTTTAGCACTGAGGCTGTTCATGATAGCGCTTAATCAAATTTAATTTTCGCATATAAAATAAGGACCGACAAAAGGCCTATTTAAGTATCTAGGACGAATATCATGGTACTTATTTTTCATGAAAATTGTTTTCACAAGATCTCTTTGTCTTGGAAGAAAAGTAATCTATTGAACGCCAACCAGCTTTTAAGACACGGGGCGGTAGCGCCAACGTATGCATTTCTTGAAGCAACATCTGTCTACCACTGTTAAAGCTAAAGTGGACTCGGGGCTCAAAGTCATTTTATTGTGTTTGCAATAATCAACGCAGATTATGAGTGAGAAATACCAGATTTAAATTACAACAGGTTTAAAAAGGAAAAACTCGAGTAAAATTATCTCGCCCACAAAATGGTAATATTAAGCGGCGAAAGTAGTTCAGGTCGAAGTCGAAGTGGTATCATCTTTGCAATATTAATGAGGGCCACTAGTTTATATTGTGTGTCACCCTCATTAAATAAAGGCAGTACTGACTGACTGACTAACTGACTGACTGATAACTGACTGACCCTCGATAAATCGGCCGGAGGCCTCACCCTATTTCTTCCGACTTTTTTCGATTCTTTAAGTAGAATATCATACTTTTTTTTAAAGATATATTGTAGTGAGTTTGATTGCGCCTGTTGCTTGAACAGCACTATACTAAACACGTAAAGATGGCTTTGTTTCACCTTGAATTTGTGAATATTTCAGTCGTATCTATTCGCTTTCGACGGTCCGAACTCCTGATAACTCGAATCTTATAGTAATACTGATACATGATTTTGTTCAACGCTTCGAGTTGCCGGGAGTTAGATGTGTATAAACACATAAAGATCTATCATTTTCGTAATAAATGCCTTTGTCGTGTTATCGTCTCAGTGCCCTATATAATCGTTTTGTTACGCTACACGTTAATGTATCTCGTTTCAATGTGCAGTCGCAGTTGCGGTATGTTGACCAACGCATGCCTGGTGTTACTCGCCCTTCTGCCTCTCGTGGCGCGGTCAAACGAAATTAAACCCTGCCCTGGAGACACTAGAGGAGACAGGTAAGCTGCTTTTCGAGTATTACGTTATTGTTTTAGAACAATCGAGTTTCAGAAGTAATCCGGGATTGCTTTGGGTTTGCTTAAATTCGCTACGTGGATGGTCCTGACCACTCGCGCCCCTTTCTCAGCCAATCGCATTCAAAGCCAAAACCAATCGCGGCTTGCTCACTCATGTTGTCCCTCACTTTAAGCTGTGTGTGTGTTCTCACTCACAAAAAATGTCATGTAGTTTGCCCTCCCATTATATGAACTTAATATACCCTTTGTAACGTTTTCATTCTTTTTATTTCCACTTATTTTATTCCTAACATATTGCCATTGCTACACAGCATATTTTTTATCGTAGACAGTAGGTCCACGTCAGCCTCTGGGTGCGTTTAATTTAACCCCCTATAACAAATAAAGTATGTACGTATGAATTCATGCATGTATGTACGTGATTACTTTGGTTTTTGGTTTGGAAACACCCTCTAACAGTTACGCAATTAAAAGTTAATTTGTCATTCGTAAGGGCGTTGATAAGTATGCAATATGATCAACATGAATCATTGATATACTCCGAATTGCAAATCGATAGCTACAAACACCGATTCACTGAACTTTCAGGGGTATGACCAGATAAAGTTAAATGTAAGAGCATTTCCAGTATTTATTACTGTGGTAACAAAGAACTTTAAGGAAAAGAGCTCATATATACTCTCCTCGGGAGAAGGGTTAACAGCGTTAAGAGCGAGAATATTGTTGATAAATTCGATTATTTATCTTTTGATAGGCGCTGCAATCACGATCCGACTCATCGAGTTTGTGCCAAGATAGGAGTTACAGGCACATCTTTCTGGGAATTTACAGGACAAAGATCTTGGTGTGGCTCAGTGAGTAAGTATGCCCTACTTTATGCATTACAAATTTAATAAAAAGAGATAATAGGCTACCCTCGTTATACGCAGTAATTCCTGTCTATTCCTCTTTATTTTGTCCAGTTAGACTGAAAGTAAGAGAGAGGTTAGTGCGCTATCAGTGAGGTACATATGGTCTGTTTCGTGGCTGGACTAAGTTGTGTGTGCGTCGTCTAAACAGAACATTGCAGAGAAGTGTATTAAAAATTCGATTTACCGGAATTCGTATTTCATATATAGCTCACACGTCGACATCAACTCAAGTACATGTCAAAACTCACGAGTTAATTTTTCTTCAGCTCCAACTCATTTTCAAATTACAGATTAGTGACGATGGCTGCCCATTTAAATGAAAATAAGCATGTTTTATTATAATATTAAATGCTGGAGCGAATAACTCATGCGTCTTGAGAGTCGCTTGTAAACTACTTCTCTACAACTAGAAAGGTCAAGAAAAAGTTTGGAGATTTCCAAATTAAATTGACTAAGTTACAATGAGAGCACAGATTCCGAAGTTGTAAGAGAGAGTTCGCTTCGCACCAATTGGTCCAAATAGAATCTTACCCTTCAGCTTTCTCTGTTTCCTCTTAAAAATTCAAATGCGATTCTCTTCACAAAAACACTGCTGCACTAACGTCAAATTTCTTGTTTATTTAATTATTTCCGCCATTGTTAGTGTTAATTTTGAGGCACAAGGATGATACCCATGATGGCTCAAATGAATGGAAAACTTGCACATATGCAAACTTATGTTTGTTCCTAATATAGGTAACTACGGTGATCAAAATGATGGAAAGCTGAGATGTCCTCCTGAGAATCCAACTTGGTGCATTTGTAAGTGGGCCACTGCAAAATGGATCAAAGGAGAGGGTTGCAATGAAGTTAGTATAGGCCACTTTTGAATTTCGTCTCTATTATCTACCCACTGTACAATTTCAGAATGAGACGACGGAGAAGCTCAAAACTGTCCCTCCCTTCCTCCTCCTCCTCCCCTCCCCCCACCCCCTCCTCTCTCTTGGATTTTCTCATGAAGCTCAGTTTTTCTACAGTCGGGAATATTCATCTTTAATGAATCCTTTTGCCTCGTGTTTTTTTTCTTTAAACAGCGCATTCAGTTTGACTGCGAGGCTACCGATGTATGTAACTTGAAGGTACGGAATGAAACTTTATCATTGAGCTTACTTTGTGCGCATGTTCATTTATCGAATTTGATGGTAATCAAAACCGAACCGTGAAGTAAATGCCAAACAAGGTGCGTCAGGGTACTAGTTGTTGTTGTTGGTTTTTTTTTGAAGTTAGAGGATTTACGACCTCCAGGTCCTGAATCCTATCGTCTGGTGCTCGATTAAATTTTGGCGAGATCCTGTACTTACTCAGTCGGTTGAGGGACGCCCTTGATTTAACGCCATCCCTGCATGAATAAGCACCTTGCGTGAGAGCAAAACAAAAAACAAACTCGAAGGTGCACCGTCTCTGAGACTGCAGCGTTATTCCTGGGAATGTGACTAAAACACGCGTTGGGTGCAACGTTTTTGAAAACAGCAGCCTCGGAAACGAATGTTTCTCGGTTCAAAATGCTATAGTTCCCTTCTCTTATCTAACTCTTACACTCTGATAACGAAATGTGCTGTAAAAGCTAAACACTTTCCAACGTATAGCACGCTCGTTCAAGTGACAAGTCCAATCTTTTCCCATAAGCTAGAGTGGACGGTTTTTGAGTGGACGGCGCTTATTTGAGGCGAGTTTAAATGACTTTGCCTTTCACTGATCGGATTTCATTATCAATAAAGGTCGTGAAGTCTTTCTGGAGTTTCCATGTGCTGAATCACACTCAATAAATCTTCCATTCTCTACTTCTCAGGCTTCCTACTTCGATGGTGACGTCGATTTGAAGCCTGCTCATGATTGTATGATGCAGAAGTGCAAGGAGCAGTGGGATGCTTGTCCGGAAAGTGAACCCCAGGCCAGGTCCTTTCACACTCGAGACTTTCTAGAAGCTAGAAATCTACAATTTTAGACATTGGGTTAACTGGAGATGAGATGCGCAGGAGATATTTGTCAATAGCTTAGTGTAGAGATGTCATGGAGTAGGACTGCAATTTGGATTTCAATGAGCACTGTGCTTACGGGTGTGTTATTTTAATAAATGTGAGTGTTTCAAAACATAACTGATCCCCGCTGTTATTTTGATATCACTTTCTCGACGTCTTCGGACGTAGCTAAAGGATTCATTGAGTGCAACGTAGAAGAGACAATTCGCTTTGTTTCCTCTACAAGTGGTTTTATCACTTACTCTTTTTGAAGACCTCCAAGAAAGACTGTATAGGGAATGATGTTCCCGGAGTGATTTTGTCATGCTTCAATTTCTCTAATAAGTATAGGTAATCATACGGTTTCGAGTTCAATTTGGAATTAATTTGCACGAGTGAGTTTTTCAA